GATTGTCTTGACCAGGACCACACCCCTAAATGCATTGAAGCAACTGCCATGTGATTGGTTGATTAGATAATTGCATTAATGAGAAAATGAACAGGTGTTCCTAATAATCCTTTAGGTGAGTGTATATGTATATGAAGCAGACTTCCCCTTCAGAAAGAGAGACCCGTCTCAGCTCTGTAGCCCTGTTTGAGGGTCCTCATGGCATCCGTCTTCTTTGGTTATTTTTCTCTCACAGCTGAACTGCTGTGGGGCATCCAGTCCATCACCTGATTGGATGAAGGACACCTGCCCAAAAAAGGAAGGCCTAGAGCAGTACATTACCACGGTAAGGCTGCTTTCTGCCGTCGTGTCGGTCGGTGCTGACTGAGCAGTGGATTATTCTGGGAGTGACCACTTAACCACTTGCTAAAAGTTGCAGGGGTGGATGATCGTAACTGCACCATTGGTGGCTTTAAGGCCTGATGATTTGTGTTCATTTTTTATATTGGCTATATTCTTTTGTTTTGTTAGACATAAAAAAAAGACATTGTCAATAATGGTTTTGATTTCTCAAAGAAATGCCGTCAGTCATGACTAACTGTTGGGTTAATCCATATCGGCGGGCCGTAACCTAGTGCTAATTTGAAAAAAGATGAATAATTAAGCTAGGCATAATTAAACAGCAGGGGTTTAAAATGTGCTAATATGAAGAAGCTTTGATTGTGATTGATCAATAAAACGCTAGCCGTAGCTCTTAGCAAGAAAGGACCCCAAAATTACAGAAGGTCCAGCATTTTAACCCAAAAATTTGAGTAATCAAATGTTCCAAACTCAAGCTTCTTTTCTGGGGTTATTTTCAACAGTCATACAATCACTATATAATACGATCCTGTATAATCTGCCTTTGTGGTTGCAGAGTTGCCCCAGCGCCATCACGGACATCTTCAATTCCAAGCTGCACATCATCGGTGGCGTAGGGATCGGCATTGGAGTGATCATGGTGAGGCGAACCGGGAAGCGTGGGCGGGGCTTCATTTAGCGCCATTTAGTGACGGTGTGCACTAATCACTCACCCGTGTGTTCCGCTCCAGATCTTTGGAATGATCTTCAGCATGATGCTCTGTTGCGCCATCAAGAGGTCTCAGGAAGTGGTGTAGCGACTGCGCCGCCTCTGTCCAGGAGTCAGGCCTCACTGTTAATTTATATCACGTCTGTCCTGAGATCTCAGCTTTCATTGCCCGTGTAATTTCTAATGTAATATTGAAGAGCCACCCAAAAATGTATAAAACGCACCCAATATCTAATGACAGAATCCGTACTAGATGGACATTGTGTGAAGCCGTTTATCACAGACATTTATTGCACACGCATACACAAACACATACATTAAATGCTACAGAATTAATGCATTTTGTAATTAGTGATCTGAAGGTGGCTTGTTTTCGGAATGTTAATTGTCTCCCCTTTAGACAGGGGAAGCCTTGAAATTTGTTTTCCTGATTTTTGTATTTTTAACAGGTTTTTAATGTAATCATTTGTTCTGCGGTATGCTACTTGTGGATGTATTTTTTTCATATGCTAAAATTAATATTGACTTTTGTAAAGCTTCAGTTTGAGTAACCTGATTTATAAAGAATTGATTTTTATGTACCTATTTCATTGAACACTGGTGTAACATTTAAAAATGCCAAATAAAATTAATAACCAGTTCAGATTTCTTTCCTGCATTCTGTGTTAGTGCAGATTCTGGGCAACTCTACCACACACAGCTATGGAAAAGTCAGGTACCAAACGAACAACAGAAAAATTTGTACGCAATTTGTGTAATTTACAATGGCTTATTACTACAGCAGTCCTGTAGCATTAAGGTTTTGCATATTACATTTTAATCATCTTCACTGTTGCCATTTCCCCACCCTACATGTTTGTACCCCAGATCTATAGCTCTGTAACATTGTTAGTTATAAATGTGATTTATGAAAGGTCATTTCCCCATACATTAATCAATCACAATCAAAGCTTGTTCATATTAGCACATTTTAAGCCCCTGCTGTTTAAATATACCTAGCTTAATTATTAATCTTTTTTCAAATTAGCACAGTGTGACTGACATACATAAACACACAGACAGAGGAGATGGCCATCCAGACACATTTACAGCAGCTGGTTGGCTCCCTGTGCCACATTTACATTGCAACATCTCATTGGCTGTCTGCTACATTTAAATTATCTTGCATCTCATTGGGTCTCTGTGTGACATTTAAAGCATGTTACATCTCATTGGCTGTCTGTGCTACATTTACAGTGTTACATCTCATTGGGTCTCTGTGCTACATTCATATGATGTTATATCTCATTGGGTCTCTGTGCTACATTCATGTTATGCTGTATCTAGTTGGGTCTCTGTAGCTGTACTACCTTGCCTACACGGGACTTAATATAATCTGTGACATAAAAAGTCAGCAGAGCAGCCGTGATATAGTGAGATCGAGGTGATTCTCCACACCTTTCTGACTAGCCCGTGGTGTTTCTGTCCTCTTACTGTGTGAAACTGCATGAAAATGTTGGTGACTAGGGTACTAAAATAAGTATCCCTATGACTTTCTGCTCAGTGATCAGCCCACCCTGCTGATAGACTGCAGTGTGGTTCAGTTGAGGCTGACTCATTCAGCATTTAACTCAGCCTACATTATTTTTTTAAACGCCTTTCAGTAAAAACACTGACTAGTGCTGAGAGAGATGCAGTGGAGATTAAGTGGCTGTAGGCAGAGGAGACATTTTAATTCTAATAAAACTGACACCTGCTCATTCGCTGGCCAGACCCACTCATTAGCGACTTTGTGTGCAATAAACAAAGCAAACAAGTGCCTAGAGTGTCCAGTGAGTCATGCAGCCTGGTCACGTCTTTGGTACGGTTTCAGTCACACTGACTGCGTGTTTGCCAGGACGGCAATGATATGTATACACCCAGCCAGGTTCATACATCACACACACACACACACACACACACCTCATGTCAAATTATACGTGCATGTTGATACTTCATGTTACAGCATGAAAGTTGCTACTGTTAATTTGCGAAGTCATGATTTTCGCGACAGATTTACAGACGTTGAATTACGCAGCTTGGAAAAACTATCGCCATGCCAACTCTGACCCCTGGTGTCAAAACAAAATGAGCTTGAGATTAAGGAGAGAGCAGCTGCATGAGTGTCGTCAGGCTGCCGCAAAGTGACACCGTCCATGAATCACTAACTTAGAGGGGCACAGGAGAGAAAGACACCAGCACTTCTCCTTTCAGATTAATTAATGTGCATGCATTTGCATCGGTTTTCTGATTCGTGCCACATTCTGACCTTTTCCGGAATTTTCCTCCAGGCATCGTGCCAAGCACACTAAGGGTGAGAGGGTACACGGGGTGAAGCTGGTCATTGAGCAGAGGTTCACAGACAGTCTGTCACACTCGGCACAGAAGTATCAGCGACCGACAGAAAGCCCCGACAGTAAAGGCATGCGGATGGAGGTTTTCACACAGCACCTGTCACTGCGAGCGGCGATGTGACGCGTGGGCATGGAAATCTTTCACAAAGCAGTACTTATTGAGAGCTGTAGTTTGGTTAAGCAGCTGCTCTGATCATGCAGTGAAGACAGATCAAAAACACAGCAACTTGACCTTCTAATCAGCCGTACAAATGAAAGCGGCTCCAGACCTAAAATAAGTTCCCTATCGCTTCTCTTCCTACATGCTAATATCTTTTATCTTTGCATTTATGCAGCCCAGTTGAAAGCCTTAAAAATGCTTTTGCTTTGAGAATACAGATAGACAAATAACTGGAAAAAATATGGAGGGGAGGGGATTTCCTTGTTTTCCCTACTAGAACAGCTGGAAAGGATTGATAAGTAAATGGGGAAACCCCAGTCAGATTCCTGGGATCCCCTGATTAGATGTGATGCGAGGATGAATGGGTGTGACCAGCTACTCAGTGGGATATCCCTGCCTTGTAAACAAGCACCACTGTTTGTCTCAGAACGGGGGACGCCGGGGGAGATCACACCAGTGGGCTCTCATCAACTTCCTATTTGACCTTTTCCAGTAAACTCCTAACACAACAATGTTGAATTTCCTTAACAGGCTTCCTTCCTTAGACTTACATTTATTTATTTCACAGACACTTTTATCCAAAAAGATGCACAACTGAAAGTGGGGTCAAACCGTCCCTGGAGTAACTGGGGGTTAAGGGCCTGGCTTGGGGACCCAACGGTGACATCACTCTGCCAGACTTGAAACTAAAACGGGCGACTTTCCCATCACAAATGCAGTGTCCTAACCCAGTGATCCACACGCTGCCCGAGATGGTTTTGAACTGCAAGTACCAGCATGCATCACACAACTCAGAAATGTAATGTTCTAAGCTACACAGGAAACACCGGAAGCTCCTGATGCAAAAACTTTGGTTCAAAATGTTCACTGCGGTGTATACTCAGCTGCAGGGAGGTTATCAGTATCTAAAAACAAACTTCTGATCTTATAACAACACCCCTCTACCCAAGCCAAGGTCTCATAATATGCCCTGTATGCCAACCATACATAGCAAGTCGGCTTGGGAGTGGGACCCCAGTGAAATCACAGTGAAAACCCTGCTTGGGGTCCGTGTGCTAGTTCAGGTAGTATGTATGTATGTATGTATGTATGTATGTATGTGTGTATGTGTGTATGTGTGCGTGTGTGTGTGTGTGTGTGTGTGTGTATGCATCCATCCATCCATCCATCCTAATGGTGCTAATCCTGCTCACGGTCATCTGGGGGCCCGGTGCCCATCACAGGCAGAGCAAGGCTGAGGCGGCTGCTATAGTGCCCACTTATTGCAAACAATGTTATACAGGAGCACCTGGCGCAGGAAGCCGTCTGATCCGGGCCGCCGTGTTCCTCATGGGAGACATCGCACCTCAACCGGACCCTCCCAAGGAGCCATCTATATTTATCAGGATATCCGGTGACAGCCGAAAGTTTGCCAGAGAAAGGTTAGTATTAGCACCATTCTCTACATTTTAGAATAATTAGGAAGACATCAGTGCGATTAAAAAATCACACACACGCGCACACACACACACACACACACACACGCACACACACGCACACACACGCACAAAGAATTCAGGGGAGGGCAGTTCTGTGGGTTGGGACTCAGAAGGTTGCCGGTTCAAATCCATTAAAGGCCCTTAACCCCACTTACTCCATGGAATGGCTGACCCTATTGTCTCCTCTACCCCAGCTTCATGAGGAGGCCTCCTTGGATGCCTTTCCAGCTGTCCTGAAGGAGGTTCCACATATATGCCCAGCACTCATTGGCTGCTTTTCCTTCACACTCTGTTCAAACTCCTCCAAAACCATCTCTACTGGGTTTAGGTCAGGTGGCCAGGTCATGTGATGCGACACCATCACTCTCCTTTGTAAGCAACTTGTTGGGTCTGAACCTTTGATCGGTACTATATATCATGAACCAGATAGGTAGACAGAAACATACCTTGTCATCTCAAACCCTAGGAATAAAATGAAGGAGACCATTAAATATAAATATAAAATCCAATTTTTAATCAAAGACTGTATATAAAAACCAAATGATAAAAGTCTTTATGTACAAAAATTGGGACGTGAAATTTGTCAAGAGTGACTGTGAACCAGCAGCTGTAGCTTAATAGTTCTTTCGTCCTGCTCCAGTCTTTGGGATGTGACCAGAACAGCAAACCTCTTCCACCCGCAGCCAAAACTTTACCACCCAACATAAAAAGCCAATGCAAACTATTCTCTTAAAAATCAAAAATTTCAAGGAGCATCAAATAGTCACTAAATATCTGCCATCGCAAGATCTTATTTCTGGATTTCATTAAAAAGTGTAACGTTGTGCAGGGCTGTGATGCCAAAATCACGCAGATATGCAGTGATTGCACCAGTCACCAGCAACTTGAATCATTTGTTGATGGGCCAGGTCCTTCGCATTCAAACCAAAATGCCATGTATCCAAAGTAAGAGAAATGAAAGACTGACATCATTCACCAACTTCTACAGAAGGAGGGGGAGCCCATCCAGATCCACCAGCTGTGCAAAGCACCGGTGGGCACAGCGACCGGGGGGCTCTCAGTCCTGCAGGGAGAAGTCGAAGCGCCGGAACGCCTTCCGGAACCTCTGGGCCATGGACTCCTCCTCTTCCCGGGTGTTCTTACACTCTCTCCAGTCGGCGCGCGTCGGTGTGTTCAGGAGCGCCTCGCTAGCAAGCACCTCTCTGCTCGACACACACAAACGGGGGGGGGGGGTGACTATGAAGCGAGCTTAACATCCCCACAGTTAACTTGATCAAATCGGTATTATGACAGTGGTCACCAACTCAGTGAGTTAACTCGGTAGTTTGCCTGTTCGAATAACGGGGGCGGAGTCCGCATTGTAAAGAGATTATTTAAAATGAGAGCTATAGATTGGTATATAGGAGGTAGGAAATTCCCACCCCGCTCAGCAAACTTTATAATCAGCAGCAGTGAGTTTGAGATGTATTCACATGTCGGTGCTGTTGCTGTCGATTTTATGGCGCCCACGTGCAGACACAGGGTTGGTGCTTAAAAACATTCCGACTCCTTGGATCTTGGGCTTAAGCTGTCACGGCGATGGATCACAGTACCTTCCGAACTGCAGGGGAAAGTTCTTTTTGATTCTGTGGAA